GAGGCTCCATCGGCATCGTGGGGCTTCTCTCCATCAGGCCCTCCTGGCGCTTTTTTTGGGATGCCGTGACGTCAGCGTTGTCAGGGATGAGTAACCGCCTTTCGGAAACATCCTCGTCCCACCTCCAGGGTCCTGTGCCAGGCAGCGCCTCTGGCAGTACCGGGGACCCCAGGAACCTTCAGAACCGCTTCCCACCCGCACCCTGGCCTGCAGCCCTCCGGAGGAGGCGGCAGTCACTGCTCCTCTGGTGGGCCCGGTGCTGTGGGCAGCCCCTTCCCGCCCAGGTGGGCCTGCGGGATGGGCGGCCCCACGTCCTGGGCATGGTCGTGTTCTTGGGACTCTCCAACTTCGGTGCGATCCCGCCTCTGTGTTTGGTCTTTCTGCCTTTGAAGTTGGTGGATTCGCACCCACCATTTCAGACAGCTGCTCCTTGGGGAAGAGGGGGGTTTAAAGCTGACGGGGTGCACCCAGCTCTCCGGGTGACCAGGTGCTGCACACATGAAAATGCGAGTTCAGTAGGTGTCGGTGCAAACCGGCCCCCTGGTGAGGCTTCTGAAGCCACACAGAGCTTTTTACACCCGTTTGGCTGAACCTTGGGAAGAGCAGGTGAAACTGGCGTGTGACCATATGTAAAACCTGTCCTTCAAAATGTGTCTGTGTCAAGGTACATTGATGAGTGTATTGGTCACTGGTGCAAGTACGACGTTACTGAGCACTGTAGTACTAGCGACTGCTGCCTTCACTAGCTGAAATGAAATTATTCCCCCAGTTTCTTCTGGCAGCGCACAGGCTGGGATAAGCACTTGTTACTTGGAGAGTGTTTTTTAGTTTAGGTTGAAACATCTACGGGCTGGTTTCTTGCTCTTTTGTCTTTTAAGCGGAATGAATTTGGTCATTTGGTGATTGTTGATATTTGTTTGCAGTGGGGAAGCATCTCTCGATAGTTAAAAGTATGCCTCTGTCTTACAGATTGGATCACTCAAAAATCACTACCTATTCAGACATAAAAGCCATCCAAGACGGTCTCGAAGAAGTGCCATCCACATCACTAAAAGACTTTCTGATGATGAGCGGGTGAGTGTTACATTTATTCTTTTTCATGCTCTCTGTTTATTCTGTCTCCTTATTGCAAGCTTTGTAATGAGGTCACAGGCAGGCTTTCCGCATTTTGCAAGTCTAATATATGCAGCCATCCACACTTGTGCTGAATTAATACTTTATTATTCTGTCATTAACAGGCAGAATCTGACCCTCTCTTACTGTAGTTTTTTGCAAGTGCTTTCCAAATTAACATTTAAGATATGCAGCATTGCAGAGGCTTGGAATTTCAGATGTTGATGTGTTGCTGATGAAAATATGAATGAGGAACCACAGGTCTTGATGTGAAGTAAAAATCCGTAGAAGCAGTAAGTTTAATCAGGCCACGTCTGTGCAATTACCACAGGACTTAGGTTTGATTTAAAGTGAATGAATATTAAAATAATAATTAAAAAAAAAAGTAGGGGAGAAGGGCTGAGGTTTTCCTGGATTTGCTGCTTCCATGACAAGCTGAAACCCCTTCTCAAAGGATCCATCACACGCTCTAGTGTTTTGAAGCACTGGGACCCCACTGCAATCAGAGAAGAGGCGCACTGGAGAGCTGGGACTCTGAGGTGCGATCTGCTGCTGAAGCAGAGTCCCACTGATTCAACTTCATTTGAGAGAGTTGCTTGTCTGTTTGTAAACATGCTGAAAAACTGGGGTGGGTGCTGAATTTAAGGAGCAGACTAGAAAGCTGTCAGCCGTTCTTAAAACCAATCTCTGGAAAATTTCAGAACAACAGAATTTGAATTTCAAATCAGCATTATTGCTGCAATCATTGTAAAAATAGGAGCAGTCCAAAACATGAAGTATCCTAATTGTGAAAACCTGCAATTTGTCATATAAGGGCAAATCACTGTTGGTTATCTGGAAGGTTTAGATGCAAATGTCATCTGGGAGGAAATACTCCATGTGTAGCTAGATGAATTAAAGGAGGGGGTGAGACAGGGAGTTTGTTTTGCCCATTCTCTTTCAAAGATGTACAATCCCACCTGTCTGCTTGCAAACATTGCGCTAACAGGTAATGTCTTGTGCGTGAAATCGTTATAAACAGGGGATGTTCGAAACCACAGCTTTAGTATAAACTAGTTCTTTGATTTAGAGCTGTACCTCTGATCGGATGTGCAGTGCCATCACAGTACGATGTTCAGGAACAGTTTTTGTTGCAAGCCCTCCCTTTTTTCGGACTTGCTGCATCGGATGCACCTCTTATGCAGGGAAGCATGACCCCGTGTCCGACATACTGAATTCTAATGTCGCAAGAGAACAGAAGCGACTGTTACACTCATTAGTGCCAAACGTGATTGCAGACTAGCGTACTTAGATCCAAAACTAGAGCTTCAAACTGCTGCAGGTGATTTGCTAAATTTACTCCAATTTCCCTTTTATTTACCATCTAGTATGCAAATTAACTGTGTGAATGAATGAGATGTAATTATGTCATTACATAAGTAGATAAACACAAAGCAGTCATGTAACGCTGTGTAGTTATACATGGACCTTTGCTCCCGAAGAGCTTCTCTTGTTCAGCAACAGCCTATTTGAAAAGATTTAAATTCGCTCTTTAAAGAGGGAGAGAGGAGGGAATCCTGCTTTTGTTTGTGTAACGCCTTCGTGAATTTTACGGTATGTTAAGTGTGAAAGCTGGGGTAAAACTTGGCTCTAATCTGAATATTTATCTGCTTCCTATAGATATCTCAGTGTTTGTTGTAAACCAGAGAAAGGCTGTGAATACATTGAAGGGATATAACTACCTGGTTCCCTAATGCCTTCCAGTATTTGCGCTATTTTCCAACCCTACTTTCTTGCAAGAGACCTGAACCAAGATTATTTTTGTTGCTTTATGTATCAGTGACTGGAGATTTGGCACAGGGCCTTCAGCTTTTGCTGTGGATAGATGGCTGGAACCTCACCCAGCTGCTTGAGCGACAAACATTTGGCTTGTTTGTCTGACATATGTGCTTGGTAGTTTCAGCTCATTTCCCTCAATGCTGTTGTCCGCATTGAAAAAAATAACAAACATGGAAGTTGTGGATTGTTAATTACTGTTGGATGATGAAGAGGCCCAGCTTTGCTGTGGGCAGAGAAGAGAGATAAAGATGATTACTCTAACCTGTGCACATCTATGGCCCTGGATATCAACAGGGCAGTTTACTTACCCTTGCATGGGGCTATTCATCTTCTGTGACTAACTACGGTTTGTAGGGATTTTAGCGCTAAGTATATAGCAAAGGGAGTAGTACTAGAGAGCTTTTGGTAAATGTGCCTGGTGTAGCTACCACCTTTAAGGGTTTATGTTCTTGTAGTGAGTTTTCGTTAGGCTTTCACTAGGAAATTATATTTTACTCAAGCCAGTACTTTTTTTTATCATTATAGTTTCTGAGTCACTCGTTGTTTCATGTATGGTGATAGATGTAAGGACCATAAAGCCTCTGGCTCACAGTAGAGAAAAATAATAAAATCTGTTCAGATGTTTAGAGGCAAAGGTGAGATTCAACGTGTCCTCCACTTGAGGCTCATATATCGTGGCAATGTTCTGAACCTGGGCTTGCTTTGCTCGTTTGGAAATTGGGATGAAAAGCACCAACTTTATCTGTGTCAGAGTGACCGTCTAGGTACTAGCAACAAATGATTTGTTCCCATTTCCAGAAGGAGCATGCAGCACAATGAGAGAGATGTCAGAATCAGGATTTGATTTGAGCTGGGTTTGGTAATGCACTCAGGAGGGCTAGGTGGGGTATGCTTTCAAAAGGCAGCCTAGTGACTTGGAGGCTGCTGTGCAACTCATTGTGTTGATGCTTTAGCAAAACACACTGAAGCGTTTTGGCTTTCTGTTGCTGTAAGTGGAATCATGCCAGTGATGAAGTTAGTCCAATATTCATAGCTCGCTAATTGATCACATTTCAGAACACTGCTGGGAAGGAGACTTGAAGGTCCAGCTGGGCTATGAGTAACAGTATCGTTACGATTGCTAGACTAAAGCCAGAGATAATCTTTCTTCTTTCCTTTTAACTCCCAGTAGAAATACACGGGGATTAAAATGTAGGTAGGAGGAAGAAGCAGGCTATGGTTTTGCTTGTTTCGGTGACCAGCGCTGCTTAAACTTCTAACCACATTGCATATTTGATATAAAAGCCTGCGTTGTGCGGCACTCAGGGGAGTTCTACTGTTAACTTGTACTTAATGATTTTCTGTGAATTGATTCTATGGCATCATGGTTCCACCAAGCCCTCTTCCCCGAAGTACACTATACTACAGTATAAATAATCCTCCTCTCTGCATCAAACACTGCTCGTTTTTCTTTAGGCATCAAAATTTTGCTGTGTGAGGAAAACCTTTATCCTCTAGGCTAAGAAAGTCTTAACCTGTAGAGGCTTACTTGTCATATTTATACAAATAATTGTAGGTGTCATGGGCAGAGCAGCAATATGAAAAAAAACGAACTAAGCGTGCCACCGTGAGAGACTCAGCAGAAAATCTTTTCAATGATCCTATGTGGAATCAGCAGTGGTATCTGGTAAGAATTTGTTTCATTGTGGAACTGGGGATGGGGAATTTTAGTTGTGCTGCATTATGTTACTAGTACCAGAGTGATTGCGCTGAAGGGAGTGAATGAAGAGTCCCTCTCATTAGCATGTGCCATAAAAATGGGAGATCTTTGTGCATAGTATTTCCAGGCAACCTTCTATTTTCTTTGAAGTGTCCTTTGTGCAAAGCCAATTCAGGCTGCTGCTCAGGGTGGGGTTGGTATTAAAAAGTGTGACAGTTAAAAGCTACGTTTATGGTAATATTAAAATATGTGCTGTTGGCATATAAGAAGTCCCTTATACGTCCCCTCGTCGTGTCTGAAGCTGGCTGTGTGTTTCTTTATTAAAATCGGTAGTGCAGAGTGCATGCTGCAGACAAAAAAAAAAAGCATATATGTACATGTGACAAGCACCTTCAGCCTCTTGGGCTAGGATTTAAATAGAAGAGAGTCTCTGCAGCTCACATGTTCAAAAATTAGAGGAAAAGAAATTTCCTGAGCACTGTAGTTTCTGTCTGCGTGTGACAACTCAGAAACACAGTTGATCATTTATGTTTTGCCTGGTTTCTTTTGGTTGTGTCTGTATTTCCACTATGCATCCAGCTGTACCTTCAGTCTCGGCTTTGTTGCTTTCACTCAGAACAGGAATGGGATTAAAGGTGGGTATAACAAATCAAGAAGAAAGGTCAAGCACAAATGTGCCCCAGGTGGCTGGAAATACCTTTCTCTTCTTCAGTTCAGCTTAGAGAAAACAGACCAGACTCTGGGCTGTTTGCACTCTCTTTCCTTTGTTTCAGCTAGGAAAAACAAACTATAAGCCACGCAGCATAAAATATTTCCATGAAGATTCCCATTCTTTTCAACATAAAAAGTGGTTATCTTTAAGAATTTAACTTTTCTTTGAAGCTGAGTGTCTGTTTGCTTCTTTGCCTGTTTCCAGTAGGAAGCAGGAAATTTCTGGGTGTCTGTATTGGGCAAATACACAAACACAGAGTTCAAAAAAGCAGTTTTGTGAAAAAGGCAATGTCCTGCTGTCCAGGAGACATAGTTCCTTCTTCCACCTTTCTATGGCTTTCACTTCCTTTCCCTCTAGTTTTCTTGCATGAGAAACAGAAACATGATACTTATCCTTGTTTGCACTGCACATTGAATTTTTTCTGATTACATAGGTTAAATATTTTCTTCCAAAATATGTTCCTTGCCTTGTAGTAATTAACTTGTTATTACCTTATTATTATGATTTGATGGCAACAGTTTTTAGCTCTATTCAGTGTGCTTTCACACATCACCAGAAAAAGTCATTATTTAATGGATTCTAGAGAACAAAACATGAAACCTCAAATAATTCCCTGAACGGCAGCAGTCAGAAAAGAAAGCGTAAAATGAAAGAAGGGTCATTCCCGTAACAAATTTCTCTTTCTAGGTCTCATATTTTATGCAGCATTCCTTTGGAAACAGAGAATGAAAAGCCTGCAGTCAACTGACGTAATTATACACAGAAAAGCAGAAAGAAAATGCCTTTTTTTTTTACATCTGTGTTTTTATATAAGCAGCTTTTCTGAATTAGATATATGTACTGCACATTTAATATTAGAGAGGAAAAATGACCCATTTAGGAGCTACTCTTCAAAGAACTTGCTGTGGAAGGGAAGGCTATAGATGATTCATGCTTCCAGTTGATTTACTGCAGGAACAGTAATGAGGGTAGTAAACAGAAAGTTGTGATTCAGCACAGTTGTTCCTAACCAAACGACTACCTTAATTGTTTTATCCATTAATTATTTTGCTCTGGCTAACTTGAACGTCAAAGGAGAAAACATGTTTGGAGGAAACACAGCTCAGTGTGCTGTGTGGTACTGTCTGGGCTTCTCATAGAGTGAAAAGAACAAACATTAGCAGGTCTGATTATTAACTCGTCGTTCCAAGGTTCATCGGTACATCCCCACCATTCCTGTGTTTCTGCTGCCTGCCTCCGATAAGTGCAAGGTGCTTTTTGTTCGGAGGTGGTCTTCAGGGGTCTTCAAGTAGTGACGTAAATCTTTCAGTGCTACAAGTAGTTGGAGAAACTTAAGTTTTGTTTTATCTTTGCAAAATGTGAGCGAAATACAGATGCTCAGGCTGGGATGGTTTAGAGCACTTGTAAAATACGGCTTGGGACCTCTGTAGTACAGATGGGTAGAAGTGTTGACTTATTTTAATCCTTTCTGTCCCCCAGCAAGATACAAGAATAACTCCGTCCCTGCCCAAACTGGATCTGCACGTTATTCCTGTATGGCAAAAAGGGATTACAGGCAAGGGTGTTGTCATCACAGTATTAGATGATGGCTTGGAGTGGAATCACACCGACATCTACACTAACTATGTAAGTTTGGGCATTAGAATGCTGTGGATAAATGGATTGTAGATTTCATGTATAGATCCTCTTCTCCTGCTTGCTGTCTGTTCTGTAAGTCAGCTCCTGCAGTACAGAGAATGAAGTATTTGCCTTAGGCATAATTTGGAACCTGGTCTGTGTCGCAGGAAGCTGAGTGTTACTTAGCAATGATAGTGGGATGGGTTTTTTTGTTGTGTTTTTTCCCCTCAGTGGATTTAGTTCCCAGGCATGTTTGTGTACAGTGGTTTAATGCTGAATTATTAAAGCTCTGTGAAAAATTTATGGAATTGTTAATGCCCATCAAATTCTACCAATTTGATTGCTGTCAGCGTGAGGCACACCAGGTAAACAAACACAGACTCGAGCCATTTTGTTGCACGTTTTAAGATGAATTTTCTAGTTGTCTGAATTAATTCTGGTTTGTTTTTTTTTTTTTAAATGTAGGATCCAAAAGCAAGTTACGATTTCAATGACAATGATCATGATCCCTTTCCTAGATATGACCCAACAAATGAAAACAAGTGAGTAGCCTCCCACTTGTGTGAAGAGAGCAAAGCAGTACGTTACTAATTTGTGTATTAGAACATGCAAATGCAGAAATATCTACGTATATCCCCTATGACAATTATGTAATAAAAGGGAGAATTTTGTAACAGGATCACAGGATGGTTGAGGTTGGAAGGGACCTCTAGTGGTTATCTGGTCCGAGCCCTGCTCAAGTAGGGAGACTTAGAGCCAGTTGCCTAGGACCACTTCCGGACGGCTTTTGAGTATTTCCAAGGAGGGAGATTCCACAACCTCCCTGGGCAAGCTGTGTCAGCGCTCCGTCACCCTCACAGTGAAAAATTATTTCCTGATGTTCAGAAGAAACCTCTCAGTTTGCACAAACTTTTGCACTAATGTTGGTGCAAACACTGAAAACTAAGGAAATTAAATTCCCAGATGAAGAGCTTCATAAATGCAGTCTCCCTATAATGTCCTGAATTTCTTCATATCTTTGTATGTGTAAGGTACTGATACGTTTCTGTAAGCTGGAGGGAACAGTCTATTCATGTCACTGTGTGTGTTTCTAGAGTGATACCTCCCTAAGCCAATTTTGACTTCAGTTCTCTGCTTTGCACTGGGAATTTTAAAAGAATATGTCTCCTGTGAAGGGCTCTGGACTGTGTCTTAGAGGGACCTACCAAGAAACCCGTCCCTGCAGGTCAGCTTTTGATGCTAAGGACACTCTTTACCAATTCTGGCAGTACCTTCTGGACCCATAGAATAGCTTCTAGCTCAGTGTGCGCAATCACAGGCAAAGTCATACTTCTGACCTCCCCTGTCATGTGGGTGTGACACGTGGTCAGACACTGGAGGAGGTTGCATTCACTCCCACAACAATCCTTCAGTCTCTTCTGAGGCACGTGGAAGCTTTATTTAGACCAGATTTGGCCTAGAAGTCCTCAAGGTAATAACCTAGGAAGTTTCGAAAGGCTTAACACAAGACAACTAGCCAGTTCACTTAGTGGATTTCTGTGTCTTGGAAAGAGGAATTTTCTCTGATGCCTTCTCTAGAGCTACCCCTGTGATACTCTGTGGAACATCTTCATGGGCCTGTCACACCTAGGCGTATCCACGCTAGTTCAGGGTGGGATTTTGCCTATCAGAAAGAGAAGACAATGGACCTCTTTAAAAGCTGGTACATAGAAGAAGTCCGTTTTAAACCAATTAAGGTTCTGGTACTGAATGAAGATAGAGTAAGAAACTGATGTGCTGGTTCCCTATTGTCTATGAGACAATATAATTGCATTCACAACATATATCAGTGTATGGGGAGAAAGAACGAGCAATCGAAGGATAAACATCCCATGAATAAGATATTTGAAAAATGACATTTCTACTTTGTTACAGGTTATTTAAGAGCAGGAAGGCATTATCCTCTTGTTCTGATGACATTATCTCTTAATTCTACCTGTATTACCTCTAATCTTTATTAATAAGTAAATGGAATTCAGCCCAGAAGCATTCAAACACTTCATTGAATAACAATCTGTAGTATTGAATAATGCAACTCTTTTTCAACTACACTTCTGTGAAGGTTTTCTGTGTTGTGGAATAAGAATCACCTATGGCAAAAAAGACTGGTGTAGAAAATAGTTGCTTGCAAGAATTTAGCAATGGTGAAGATCCTTTAAAGGCTCACTTTCGGAAATCCTAAATGAATGCAGTCATTAAAAAAAGGGATATCTAAATGTGTGGTTAAAAGAGACTTTTATCGTATTTCTGTTTGAAGAAGTTTAGCAGCTTCTCGGCCCCATAATTTTACACTGCTTTTGCACTCTACTAAAATACTGGTACGTAGTAGGTCTACAGAGGTCACTGTGACTTAGGTTAGGTATTGATCATCTCATCATGGTGATCCTTTGATCATTAAGTAGGTAGAATTATGTTGTTTGAGGTCTGAGAGAAACAAGTATTTTTGTATCACATAGATACAGCTGATAAGCTATTCAATAACTGCATTGCATTCGTTTGAAGGAAGACTTCCACCAAACAAAGAAGGTCAATGGTGAGTCTTTATGTACATTACACAAAGATTTTATGAGGTGTTGTTTATTCTTGCTATATTTACTCAGGCATGGAACACGGTGTGCAGGAGAAATTGCCATGCAAGCCAATAACAGAAAATGTGGGGTTGGAGTAGCCTACAATTCCAAAGTTGGAGGTAAGAAAACGAAAATAGTTAGTTGTCTAATATGAATGGAAACAAGACAGATCCTGTGAAGTGCTGAGTGTTTTCAGCTACCGTTAATCTAAATAGGAATGATTGATTCTTCTCAGAAAACACCAATCTTGCAGTATTAGGCTACAAAATCCTGTCTGGCCATGGTGCAGAGTGTTACGTGTATATGGCAGCATTTGTTATCGTCAACATACTCCATGGAATTTGGTTATCAGTTAAGCATAGGTAGACTGTATAAAAACAGCAACAACAATATAGGTGGTGATAATGTTGATGATGGTGATGGTGATGATGATGATGATAGCAACAACCTACATTGTACGCAGAGATAAGGCTCTAACTTTTACGGAATGATGGACTCACCACTTACAATTGGTTATCCTGGAAGGAGGTGTCATGGGGGAGGAGAGGGATTGAGTAGAGTGAAAGTAAGAGTATACAAATTTATACCCACCCTTGCTTGCAGCACACAATTACATTTGAAAGGTCATGTCAGTCAAGATACTCAAACTGCTGTGTTTTTTGTTTCAACAGCTTACTTCTCTATTATCATCATAAGTTAATTTTGAAAATAGTAGAGCCTTTCTTGCCCATCAATCAATACTGCCATTTTTTTGAAGTGTTGACTAAAAGTTTAATCCATTAGAGGTTTATGAAATAGTCATGATCAAAGTATCAGTTGCAGATGGTTATTTAGCTCAGAGGAAGATACTTGTACAGTCCTAGTTTGTCCATTACTCCCTTTTTTCCTTTCAAACAAAGGGATGATGAGTGGCAATTGACACCCATAACTGCCTTTCCCACCATTTCAGTCTTATGTTTGTAGGTTCCCATTTACTCTGCTGAGCTGTCATAGATGTCAGCTTTGCAGTCTGCCTGTGCCATAATGCATTATGCTGTCATGGTCTGTTTAAATAAAATACCTCACTCAAAAGACGAAGACGCCAAATTTTCAGAGCAGGGCAAAATGGATGAAGCTGCAGAGTTGTCTGAACTCCCGCTGTGCCCATATTTTAAAGCGTTGGCATCTACAGTGAAGATTCTGCCACAGTTATTTGCATATGCTCTGTGTTCATTTGCAAATGCAAACTACAGATCTGTGCAGGGTGATTTGTCTAGAAAAGGGAAATAACAGCAGAAAAAGCAGTCCAGCAATCCAAAACAACCCAGAAAGCTGCTGATACCTGCATGGCAGGGGCGGGGAAAGAATGGAAAAAGTAAAAGAAATTGTTAAGCTGTTATTTATGACCGGCCTGATTAAGATAAAGATGTAACAAAAATGTGTTCAAGGAGCAATGGAAGATAGGAGAAGTCTTCAAAAGGTTCAGCTAAGTTTGGAGTGGCTAAACATTGGAAGCTTTTTTGATGTTCCAGTCTATCCAGGATTCATGTCTTCACAGGCTGTTTTTCTTTTTTTTTTTTTTAAATCCGTGAAATGACACATTACATACTTCTATTTGACATTAGTTCAGGATAACTTCTTTAAGTGGCGGTTTGCTTGTAGCAATTGCTGTACTGGATAAATCCCACGGTCCATAGCCAATGCCTTCTCTCTGATAGTCAGCAATAGCTGCTTTGGGGAAAGACATTTGGAACACCTTGTTCTCTAACCGTCAGCATCAGAGGTTGGTTTAACTTTGCCTTGAGGGGTGAAACAAAACATTCCATTGAAAATTTTTTGTTTTCTGTGGAAATACTGACTGTAATAATCCTGAGTGCTCTCACTAGTCACATCAATGCTTGGCCCTGTTCTGAAACCTTGATTAGTCTCTTCAGTGCCTTGTGGCTGTGAATCCCACAGGGTTTTCTGTGCACTGTGTGAGAAAAAAAAAAAACTTCTTAATGCCAGTTTTCAAAGTGATACCTTTCAGTGTCCTTTAACACACACCTCTTGTTCTGCATAGAGCCAAGAAACGTATCGATCACCTTTGGAGTAAAGCAGGGTTTATACATTTTCATACGTACCTAACCATATCACTGTGCTATGATATTTCTCCGGTGCTGCCATGGAAATCACATGATTAAGAAGCTCCATTTTACAAAGGACTGGGCTGAGAGTTCCCACACAGTGACGTATTGCTAAAAATAGCCTTCTGCCCGGCAGATACATGTATGTGTCTGAAATTACCTTGCGCTTTGCCTGCTTTTGGTTTTGTGGGACTGATGATGGGAGCAAGCGTGTCCAAGAATAGGAGAGAGTTTATGCAAGAGGACCTAACTGGAGTCTGCTTAGGAAAATACCACTGCTTGTTTAAGTCATCAAATCCCTGAGATGACATAAACAATCAGGATTTTTGACAATCACAAAGACAAGGCAGCAGGTTCTTTCTTGAACCGTGTGTTGTCAGTTTACTTGTTTTCTTCCTTATTACATTATTTATCTTCAGAGTTGGCTTTGGCTTCTTCTGTGGAAAATATCTGTACACTACTCTCTGCATTCCCAGTATCTCATTATGTGTTGCAACCAGAGCTTGCAGTCATTTCCACACAGGCAAATCTTTGCTCACAGCACACTGGTCTGAGAGAGTCTCATGATTCTGAGCCAGCTGAAAAATGGGTATTCAAAATGTTATGAGTTTAAGCCTATCCAGGGTAAGTGATGTTTTTAGTACCTGAGGCACAGGATATACCTTCATTGTTTTCCCAGCTTTGTGAGTGATAGTGGAGTAGCAGTGGTTGAGTGGATTAACTCCTTTGTCTGCTTTTGCCAGTAATTATTATGAAATAATAAAGCCCAGCTTTATCTTGGAGGTATTACAAGTCTTAGAGGCCAGCCATTTGGGAAAAGAATTATGCTTACCGTCTTTTTTTTTTCTCCTGCTTGATAGCATAAAAAAGAACAAGACACTGAGCTGCAAAGGTGAGGTTGGGATTGGGGATTTTTTCCTTCCTTTTTTTTCTCTTTTTCCTTTTTCTCCTTTCTTTTTTTTTTTTTTTTTAATAGGAGAACCTGCTGTGCCTTGGGAGAATCCCTGTTTTGTGGAAAATACTAGAAAATGAGTACTCATAATTCACCAACTGCCTGTAATGGTGCAGCTGCTGTAGTACTAACTTGCCAAGTTCAAGAGAACCCAGACATTTTTATTGCTTGAAAACACAGGCTGCATCCTGACTGCTGTGGCTCTTATATTGCTGCTGTTGCTGGGAGAGCCATGCCATAATGGGAATTTTGCCAGACTTCTGCTATTCCTGTCCTCCTCCAGCACTGGGCAGTGGTAGCAGAGCTGGGGATTTGCAAAGCCAGAGATCCAGTGCAGATGAAGTGCTGCCTGCCACTGAATTTTAAGTACCACTGAGATCAGGCTTGCTCTGAAGAAGATTAGATCATGCGGTTCCTAATAAAATGTTTATGGCTAGATATCTCTAGCATCTCTGGATTGCTCACAGTAGAAAAAACATGGCAGTGAAACAACGGTGAGAATTTTTTGTGGTGAATATTGAAAAGCTAGTGAAATAGCAGTGTGACAAATGCGGCAAATCCTGAATGACTGTGAAGACAAAGTGTTTTAGTCAGAACATTCAGAACTACATCTTTGAACTCTGGGTGCTCTTAAAGATAAAAGTAATGTTGATAAAGCCTGTTTAATTTTAGTGACATGCTAGCAGTTTGAGAAGTCTTTGTTACAGACTTAACAAAAAGGAAGAGTCAAGACAGAGCTCCAAGCAGTAAGAACAAGCAGGAACGATAAGCAAAACATCATCTTCTTGGCTCTTTGCAGAAAGAGAGAAAGAAGTAAATAAGAGGCAACCAAGATTCTAAGAGGGTTTTGGGTTTTTTTTTAAATGTTTTTAGAGAGCACTGAGCTCTGCAAATGAAGTGTACTGTTTCACACTGACGTGAACTGTCCTCAGTATTACTTACATGAACAGCAGTAGGCTGTGGTTGCAATAGTTAACGGATTAATTTTGCTGGAAACTTTACAAACAATAAAAGACGAGGAGGGAACAGAAAGTAAATCCAGTCTGCTTCTTTTTTTCTGTTGAGGTATACGAATGTTGGATGGAATAGTCACCGATGCTATTGAAGCCAGTTCAATCGGTTTCAATCCAGAACACGTGGATATTTACAGTGCAAGCTGGGGCCCTAATGATGACGGTAAAACTGTGGAGGGACCTGGGAGACTGGCACAGAAGGCTTTTGAATATGGGATAAAAGAGGTACGATGCTTAAGAGAAAGATACAATAAAATGTGGCAGAGAACGGAATTTCAAAATGGTTGTTACTAGGGAGGAAATGAAAGTGGTTTGTGCTCTCTTTGCTCGAACACATTTGAAAAGGAGATAAGATTTTAATAGTCCAGGTCAGAGAAATTACTAGCCAGAACAGGACTTTTAAAAAAGCACCATTAGAGTTTTCTAAGCTGGTTTTAAGCTGCTGTCTTACAGATAAGCTTTCTTTTTCCATCCTTACTTTTGCTGCCTTTGTCTCGCCCTACCCCCACCCTTCGCTGCTGCTTGTTTTGCACTGAGCAGTAATTGGATTTCTGCACTGAAAGCCTATAAAATTTAATACAAAATTTCTGCCTTGTGAATATTTTGCTGTGTGAAATAGCGATGCATTTTAGCACCCTGTGGTTGGGCTTGTATTGTGTTAATTGCATTAGTTTACAAATTGGTGCATATCATGATCCAATTAAAATGAAGATAGTAAAAATGCGTAATGGAGAGTATTTGGAACAGTGTTTTTACAGTTCTTTTTTGTGTTATCCTCTTTAGATCTGCTTGGATGATAAGTAGGGTGCAAACTGAGAGCTATTAGGGATGTATTAATAAACTAGTCTTGCTCTTGCCAGTGAGGTGAAAAGATATCTAAAGACAGCCAGGTACTACTAGAGAGAGGACGACTGAATCAGTGATGGGAGAGGAGAGAAATGGAGAACAGAAGCAAAGAGAAAGGATTTTGACGAAAGGGCAGTTAACAGCAGCAGATAGAAAGAGAGAAGAAGAAAGAAGGGTCTGACAGCTGCAAACATACTCTGAGGAAAGAATGGAGACCGAGAGGATTGGGCTGGTGATAAACAGAGATCTAAGTCCATACGTAGGCAGCAAGGGAAGAGGGAGAATTAAAGGCAATAATTAGGGAACCAATGTTTAGTGGTCTTACTCTGAAAAAACAGGTTCTTTGGAGGAACGTGTCTTTTTTTTTACAACTTGTTTTATTTCTCAAGGACAGGTTCTTTGGAGGAATGTGTCTTTTTTTTTTACAACTTGTTTTATTTCTCAAGGGGAGCAAATTTACCCATTCGTTTGTCAGGCTTCCTTTTTCAAGGGTCTGGGTGGCCTCTGTTCTGCTAAAGTCAGCCAGAGCTGGGGTTGCCAACAACTTTAATCCCTGGCGCCTTCATTGCTGGCCTGGTAAAGCATTTAAGCATATGCTTCGCCTTAAGCATCTATGAAGAGGTAGTAGCTCTCCGAGTGAAATCAAAGCAGGTGTTTACATGTAGCAGTGCTTTTCTGGACCGCAGCCTTTAGTCTCAAAGGAAGGCACTGTCTCATTTTCTATAATTGACATGGCTTGTCCTTCCCATTTCAGCAGTTGTATCACAAATACAGCTTACTTTTCTTTATTTTTAATATTTTAAGTGCTGCAAATGTCTTAGCACTTCCATGAATAACTTCAAATCTCATCTAAATGGGATGATAAAAATCTGTATTTCAGCTGCTGTTTCCAGTCAATGTACGTATATTAATAATGAACAACATACAAACTTTGGCTCTTCACACGAAACATGATTTTTTCCTCTGAAGGACTAGCACAGCTTAAGGCTGGATGGGCTGTTACATATGATAGCTGTGGTGGTTTACATGCTGTCAGCTGCCGGCATCAGTTGTTAGCTGCTGCTCCCTCATTAGGTACTGGAGACCAGAGCAGGGAATGAATGGGGTTGTGTTTGCAGACCAGTGGTGCTGGCCTACAGATCTGTAAGAGAAGGGAGGGTTTTCAGTCAGATGTGCTTGTTGCTTCACTGTGTTTCAGCAAGTAAACGCCAACCATGAAAGGCTTTCTTACAAAAAATAAATTGGTGGAAAAGTCATATCAGGTATGTCATTCATACTGCTTACCTACACCTCTGTGATTACAGGAAAGGCAAGTGAAATAACCCGTGATAAACTTGCCATTTCTCCAAAAAAAATGGGCATTTTTCCTAGAAGTTCAGGACCAAAACATCAACATGTGGGAAAACTTACCTGTTCAGCATAGATTCTGCTGATTCTGCTTTTAATTTGAAAATCCGAGGGGAGGGAAGTTACTGTGCCTGGAACACTAAACCTAGACCGGTCAAATCGAAGATGTACTATAGGCTGTGAAGTAGGATACCTCAAGTAGCTGGTTTGTTCTGTCTCTGTCTTCCACAGTGCTTTTGGAAAATCATAATTTTCTACCTGAAAATGTTTGATATATTATGCTGGGGGGG